GGCCAGGGGATGGTGGCATGACCATGCCCCATTAAGGGGTGCTCTCTCCCTATCTCTTTCTGTCTCTCTCTGGTAAGGGCACACATCTTATGGCAATGAAAGAAAACAGCACTGTATATTCCTAACTTAAAAAAAAAAAAGTTTGCAAGAAAAGCGAATTAAAAGCTAAAAGTAAACAACTCTATTTCTCGATATAAGCTCTGTTAAGTTCAAGGCTTTTGTAAGCGATGATACCAGCTATTTAGCCCATCCCTAAAGAACTGAAGGTACTAGGAATTAAACTGTGTTGATGCTGTCTTTTCTACATTATTAACTGAGGAAAATGGGTGCCCTTTAAAACCTCTTTAAGATTAGGAAGCAGGACCAGTAGATGGCATAATGCTTACATCACTGGACACTCACGCAGTCGACTGTGGTTTGAGTCCCAGACCCTGCGGCTTAAGACTCATGCCGGGTGTGTGCATGTCCAAAATTCCGAGAGGAGAGTGGAGGAGAAGGGACTGTGGTGTGCCTATCCCCTGAGGGGTAATTTCTCGCTTTCTCTTTGTCTCTCTGGTGAGTGCACACGCCTTACAGAAAAATTTCTCTTGAAAAATAAATGAGATTAGGAAACAAAAAGAAGTCAGAAGGAGCCAAATCAGAACTGGATGGATGCCTGTTAGGTGAATGCTCAGTGATTCCCCCTTGAACCCTGCTAAAATTGCCCTGTGGAGGGAGACATGAACAGGAGGATTGTCGTAGTGGAGAAGGACTCTCTGGTGAAGCTTTCCCAGGCATTTTTCTGCTAAAGCTTTAGCCGACTTTCAAAACATTCCCATAACACACTCTTTAGCCATGCAGAAGGGCGACGAGCAAAATGCCTTGAGCACCCCCAACCTGAGGGGATCACCTTTGTTACTGATCTGCTTCCGCTCTGACTGGACCACTTCCACCTCCTGGTAGCCATCGTTTTGACTGGGCTTTGTCTTCAGGGTAGAACTGGTAAAGTCACGTGTCATCTCCTGTCATAATTTTTTGAAGAAATGCTTGAGGATCTTGACTCCACCTGTTTAAAATTTCCACGGCAAGTTCTGCTCTTGCCTGCAGCTGATGCTGGGACCTATTCGGTAGAAACTTTGTTCAGCGTTTTTTCTGTAAGAACTGTGTGAGCTGGGGCCAGCAGGTGGCGTGGTGGGTAAGATGCTGGACTCCCACATGGCCAGCCACGGTCTGAATCCCTGATTTGGCAGCTGCTTTCTCACTTTCCCTTGCTGTCTCTCTCTGGTGAATGAAAATAAATAAAATAAAATAAAATAAAATAATTGTTAAAAAAAGTGTGTAAATTGCACCAACTTTTATTATTATTATTATTATTATTATTATTTTTACCATGAATCAAATTTCCCCGAAAGGGGAATTGTATTGATTACTTTATTCCCTCACAATAGACCAGCTGTAATCAAATGAGGTGAACATTCACCTCAAGATTTTGTCATCTTCGTAACAGAAAAGATGAGCGTAGAACTGGATCCTGTGACCCTTTCTCGTCTTATCTCCTCCCGGTTCAAAACGTTCCCACCTCTTACTCACCAGCATGCTCTCAGATCTGCAGTTGGGCTCAACACATTCAAGCCTCAGCACAACCTTCTTTGTGGTTTTTGCCTTTTTCCGGAAATAGGCTTAGTCTGTCCACCATAGCCACTCTGCTTCCTGTCACAACGCCGCCCTCCCTGAGCACACGGAGAATCCTTGCCCTTTTTGTACTGTCACTTTGTGAGGTTGGTGCTTGCCACACTTCTTACAGAAAGCTCGCTGGGCTTTAGGGACGTTCACAATGCTTGCGGGCTTGCTATCTGCACAGAACGTGTAAACTGCACCAATTAAATGTCTACTGTGTTGGCTACTTTTCCTATCGATTACTGGTACTCTTCAATTAGGGATTACTAAGACTGTTCTCACCACAAACTGATGTGGATGGTCAGCCGCTGTGAGTGTCGTCTCAACACTGTCTTCTCTCCTTGAAACAAGTTCTCCATTTGTAAACTACCGATGCCTTTGAGGCATTATCCCTATCATCTTTATATAAAGCATCAATAATTCCATCATTCTTCCACTCAAACCATCACCACAAATTTGGCTTGTTCTTGTTTCAATTTTAGCAGTGCCCTATCAGAGGTAGGGGCTCTTTTCAAACTGTCGTCTCATCCTTCTTAGTGTCTCAGACTAGATCTTGTTCAGACATGTTGTAACAATGTAGTATAAGTTAATTCTGGTGCGAAAAATAAATAAATAAATAAAATCCACGCATAGTTTTTCCATAATATTCATTTTCCATGAACATTTTAAATATTCCTCCTAGAGAGTGTAAAATTAGTAATAATAATAATCAGCAACAATCCTAATTAAAGAAAAATTTATTGGCTTTCTTGCCAAAATGAATATGTAACAAATTTTAGGATTATCATAAAGACTAATATTTAACAAGATGAAACTAACCTTGCAATGGATATCAGGGGACTCCAGTTAAAATGCTGTTAATGCAATAATTTATGAGAAGTTGTTCTTTGTATCTCACAAGGATGTGTTCAGAAGTACACACTGGAGAGGTTTGGGTTCTGGCTTCAGTCCTGTCACTTACCAGGCTCGTCACTCACTGTAAATGACTGGAACTCTAGCTAGGGTCCCTTTATTGACACCACTTATTTCCTTCATCTCCACCTCCATGCTGTCAAGGGTCCCTATCTGTTCAGTGCTGCATCTGTAGCCTCCTGCATTGTTCTGGACAGGTAGCAGGCATCCGGTGAATGTTTGCTGGCTGGCTGAACTAACGATTATAAAATATTATCATGCCTGTCTCAGAAGGCTCAGATGAGGTTTAAATGACAGTGATAGGATATATGGAAAATGAGTACATTCTTTCTATATTTTTAAAATGTGGGTCTGTTCCTGAACCTAACTCAAAAATAAATTAAGGTAAGTGAATTAGTTATTGTAAGCTATTTCAAAAATTGTAAGTTATTTCAAATCACTATAGGTTACATAACTATAACTATTCTGAGGAAAATAGGCTATATCTATTTAAAAGCTCAGAAGATTTCAGTTTTTGCTTAAGATTACAAAGACTAGAAATAAAATAATATGCGATTTCAATACTGCAGGTAAATTTTCCAAACAAGTTCAGATAAAAAAGTCAAATGTGGAGCCCAGCAGTTAGCGTAATGGCTATGTGGCTGAACTCCCATGTAGTTGACCATGGTTTGAATCCTGGACCCAGTGGCTTAAACTCACGCTGGGCGCATGTGTGTGCCCAAGATCCTGAGAGGAGAATGGAGAAGGGATTGTGGTGTGGCCATGCCCCCTGGGGGGTGATTCCTCGCTTTCTGTCACTCTGTCTTTCTGGCAAGTGCACGTGCCCTATGGCAAAAACTTCTCCACAAAAAGAAAAAAAAAGTCAAATGTGAATTGTCTGTAGTATACTGAAAGATCTAAGACATATTGTTAAAAGAAAATGAAATATACAAACAGTGTACCTATATTATAAAGAAAAATCAACCAATATATTTCTGTAAGTTTAAATACATAGACAAACACATAAACACCTTGGAAAAGGCATAGACAGTACACAAATAATGGGTAATAATGATTTACCTTTGAGGGGAGTGAGACTGCCTAAGAGCAAACAGGGAATTAATTTTTCTCTTTTTTTCTTCTTTTCTTTTTGCCTTAGGGCATGTGCACTGGCCAGAGAGACAGAGACAGTAAGAGGGAAAGTGAGAAATCACCCTCTGGAGGAATAGCCATGCTGCAATCCCTTCTCCTCCATTCTCCTCCCAGGATCTTGAGCACACATGCATATGCATGTGGCGTGATTCTCAAGCCACTGGTTCTGGGACTTGAACTGTGGTCAGCCATGTGGGAGTCCAGCAACAGTCCAGTCCATACACCATCTGCTGGCCCAGGGAATTTGGCTTTACTGACATTGTTTGAAATTTTTTAATAGTGAGAATGTGAAAACAAAACAAAACAAAACAAAAAACCACTGCCTTAAGCACTAGGCCACGGAGCTGATCTGAGAGCATATTACTTAAAATTTGTTTTTCTTTTTAGTTGCTAAAGGGTGCATGTGCTTGCCAGAGAAAGAAAGAAAGAAAGCATGTTCCAGTGGGGCATGGTCACACAGCAATTCTTTCTCCTAAACTTCTCCATCCCATCAGGATTTCGGGCATGCACACACATAGGCCCTGTGTATTTTTTGAGGCACTGTGCCAGGACTTGAACTAGTCAGCCATGTGGGATCCACCTCCCTCCATACAGTGCTTAGCCACAATGCTGTGGGGCCTGCCCAATGAGATGTTTTATTAATCCATGGACTCTTTTAAGCCTTACTGGAATATTGAAGACAGAAAGAGCAACTACCTGTTTAATTTTATATGAATAAGGGCATAGTTCTTGGTCCCTGTAGGGAGGGAATACTTTGAGTAACACATTTAGGTACTCGGTTTTTGTAAGTTTTTGCTATAGGGTGTGTGTGCTCTCAGGGGGGAAGAGTAAGTAGAGAGAGAAAGAGAAACTGAGAAATCACCCCTGGGGGCATGATTACAGTGTGTAATCCTCCTCCTTTCTCCTTCACCTTGAGATTCTGGGCCTCATGCGCATGCACCTAGTGTGTTTTTCAAGCTGCCAGATCTGGAACTTGAACCATGTAGTTGGCCATGTGGGATCTAGCACCTTAGCCATCATGCCACTGACTGGCCCGACACATTTAAGTATTCTTTCACAGAGTAAGTGAAATCCTTTTCCTAAAGAAAAGCTCAAAAGCATTTATATATAATATTAAATATCATACTTACTAAAAAAAAGAACCTATAAAATGAGAAGGAATAAGGAAAAATATACTTGGTAGTTATTAACAGTAATAATGGGAAGCTAATAATTAAACATAATTCTTATTAGAACTATAATATATGCTTTGACCATTCTATTAAAATAAATTAATTAAATTTAAGTCTCATTTTTTATCAGTTTTATTATTTTATCGCATTTGATGTGCACAGTCCATTAGACAAAAAGATGTGCTGATTAAAAACAACATAATTTCTATAACCTGAGGGGACTCATGCCTCATTACCTGCCTCTGGTGATGATGTGGCTGATGACTGATTTCATGGCTCCGAAGCTTCCCTCGGTTGTTGCAGTTCTTCCTTCCCAAAGGATTTCCTCATTTCTGTTTCGTCGTACAGGCCCAGGAGCTCTCCTTCCTCCATAAACTCCCTCTCCTGGAATAACTCTCCATTATATGGTGCTCTCTGCACTGGGTCTCTGTCTGAAAGTGGCCTCTGTATCTGTGATGCACTTTGCTCCTGGGATTCATAACTGGGCCCTGGATCGCTCACTGCTCCAGGACCACCAAGCCCACCCTCCGGTTTCAAGGATGGATGTCTGTCTTCCTTGAGTTCATACATGTTCAGTCTCTTTTCCACCACCTCACGGATCAGCACTGAAAGAGTTTACGTACAGAAGTCAGTATTTTTCATATTTTAGTAGCTACAATACTGACTTACAGAGAAAACATTCACCAGGGTTCATTTCTTCCCTATTGTCTTAACCTTTTATAAAGTTCAGTATACTTAACTTCTGTACCACCTAAAGCATGGACTGAGTTGTACTCTCTGTTTAACTGAATGTAATTTGCAAAGTAAGTATTAATTAAGACATTAATACTGGCCACGTTTTAGAAGAACCAAAAATAATATTCAGGGGAAAAATTGGCACCTCGGTTAATATAACTGATATTCTGTTAAGTACTAAAACTGTAACGTTAGTATCTTTCTTCAATTTATTTTTTCCACTGAAAATTTTAAAGATTATTTTTAAACAAAATAAAAGAACTTACTGTCGAGTACTGTTCTTCCCACCATGCTGTTTTCCATGGTTTTTTCAACCTCATTCAATAGCCATGGGAGGAATCCTATCTCGATATCTGTAGAGTAAAACAATTTTATTAAATTATTTTTATGAATCACAGGCCAGCAGATGGTGTGGTGGTGGAGGCTGAATTCCCACATGGTTGATCACAGTTCAAGTTCTCGACCTGGTGGCTCATTCTCTCACTTTCCCCCTTTCTCTCTGATTAAACTGGAAAGTAATAAAAATAAAAAATAACAAAAAATAATTCTTTGAAAATTATTTTTATGAATCATTAAAAACATAAAGAAAGTACTTTTCTCCTTACCCAGCACCAAACAGTGTCTGGGACAGTGTAAACACCTACTTCAGTGAGCAAATGCCTTCAGTAACTGCCCCCAGAAGGTCTGGATTGGAACAGGAAGCCAGCTGAGAAAACGAGAACTCATACCCAGTGCTTTATAAACAAAGTTTCGTATACTTTACGACATAACTCCTAAATAATCCTTATTTCACACATGAGAAAATCAGAGGTGATAAAAATAAAACTAGTTCATCAGGAGCTGGAATCCAAACCTGAGTATGATAGTAAGCCTTATTTCAATGCTGCTTCTCAGTAAAGAAATTCTATCACCCTAGGAATCAAGATCATCTCTTATTAACAACAGTACTTGCTTACAACAACTATAATAAAATTGACTTTTTAAAATCTGTTTTGAAGACCAATTCTGATGCAAAATAAACATGGGCATAAGATAAATCTAACTATTAAGAGGATGCTTTTTTTTTAAAGAGATTTTTGCTCTGGGTTGCGTGTGCTTGCTGGAGAGACAGAAAGCAAGAACTCGCCCCCCCCCCCCGCCCTCCCCTATCCCCCGAGGGGGATGGCCATGCCACAATTCCTTCTCCACTAGAGATTTTGGGCATGCACGCAGACAAGTGCCCGGCGTGAGTGTAAGCTGTCAGGTCCAGGACTCAAAACTGCAGTCGACTATGTGGAGGTCCAGTGACGTAACCATCACAGTATCTGCTAGTCACAAGAGGATGCTTATTATAACAGAGTTAATCTGACAAACCCCTCTACAGACCTCTTTCAATGGGATCATAAAAGTAGCCGCTATCCCTGAGACTGTCAAAAACAGACGGGAGAAGGTCGGCCAGGTAGCGCTGTGCGAACGCGCGGGCCGCGATCTTCTGGGATGTCTCGTTGTGCTTGTGGACTATTTCCCACTGCTGTTGCTTCCGACGCTCCTGCCACAAGAGAAACGTCATCTCAGATGGTTATTTAGCCACTATGTCCTGCCCAAATGTAAACCAGGGAAAGTGAAGGGGCTTATCGAAAACAGGACAGCAAACTGTCTATAAAAGGTTCATGTTTTATCAAGATTTCAATGCATTTCAACAACTAGGGGTCCTGAATTTAGAAGGTATAAAGGACAGCTAAAATTATTCTACTGATCCATTTCTTTTCTTTCTTTTTTAAATTTGCAAGATGGTCTATTAGCAGCCAAGTGGAGAAATTGAGAAAGTACCCCCAGGGAGCGTGGTCATGCCACAATCCTTTCTACTTCCTTTTCTACTTCTGTCAAGATTTTGGGCACACACACACACACACACACACACACACACACACACGTGCCAGGTATGTTTATCAAGCCGCTTAGTCTGGGACTTGAACTGCACAGTTAGCCAGGTGGGATCTAGCTTATGTAACTATCAGGGCATGAACTGGTCCTTCTGATCCATTTTCAAGTAAAATAATTTCAAGCTATACATGCTTGACTATATAGATAATATAAAAAAAATGATGATTATGTGTATTTCTGATTAGCATTATCATAAAGTATTAACTGATCTGAAAATTTTAATTGCTTAGATATCTTCAGTTAAAGAACTTGAACCAATGCCAGTCTTCTGTAATAATTTTTTTTTTTTGAAGAGGTTTTTGCTATAGGGTGAGTGCACTCGCCAGACAGACAGAGAGACAGAAAGAGAGAAATCACCCCCCAGGAGGGATGGCCACGCCGCAATCCCTTCTCCTCCATTCTCCTCTCGGGATCTTGGGCACGCACACACACGGGCCCGGCGTGAGTTTTAAGCAATCGGGTCTGGGACATGAACCGCAGTCGACTACATGGGAGTCCAGCAACATAGCCATTACACTAACTGCTGGTCCCTATAGTCTATTTCTTAACAGCAAATAAATGCTTTTTTGGGGGGGAGAGATTTTCGCTATAGGGCACGTGCGCTCGCCAGACAGAGAGATACATATAGATAGAAAGCGAGAAATCACCCCCCAGGGGAATGGCCATGCCGCAATCCCTTCTCCTCCATTCTCCTCTCGGGATCTTGGGCACGTACGCACAGGCGCCCGGCATGAGTTTTAAGCCACCAGGTCTGGGACACGAACCGCGGTCGACTACGTGGGAGTCCAGCGACATAGCCATTATGCTAAGTGCTGGTTCCCAACAGCAAATAAATTCTTACTGATAAAGATTTCACTGACTTATTTCAACAAAGCTTATTTTGTCAGTGTTTGTTTTATATTCATAAGCAAAATCTTGCCTTTATGTAATCCTTACTCTAAGTCCGATGCTCATTGCATAATTAATTATTAATTTTGGAAGAAAACTTAAAATTCACTTGATTAGGTATCGAGTAGAATTTCCCAACAACTAAGCTATTACTCATAGTAAGTTAGGCCCTTTAGGGAGTGATTTTAATTGTGTGGAGTGTTCTGAGACTACTTTATAATTTATTCATTTGGAGTAGTGAAAAGGGTGACAATTATTGCCAGAGCTGAAAAGAGCCCTCGAGATTACTATGTCTAATGTTTCCTAACTGAGGTCTACTGTCACATTTAAAACGGTTGGAATGTAAAAGTTTTTAAATTGAAGTTTCTCAAAATATATAACCTGAGAAGAATTCTGAAAGGACCCACTTAGTTCTAGTGTATCCCTAAGGGACAGAGAAAGACCTGGCCACTGAGAAGGAGACCCAGAACTCTACCCAGATCCTGTGCTTATGGCACATCAATGTTATTTCTTTCCTGAGGACCCTTGATATTTAAGATCTTCCAGATGGGACACAAGTCATTTAGCAACTATGAAGTGAGGCATTTAGAAATTTTTGGAGACTCAATTTGGATACACTTACGTAAGCTGGAATTTACGAAATGTAACTCGGTCCATAAAAGCTCTATGACATAAAGCTCTTTAACTTTATGACATACCACACGTAATTTTGCACCTGATATGCTAAGTAGCGGAAAGACTGCCTAAGAAAGAAAAACAGAATTCTATACCTTTTCTTCTCGGTGTCGTCTCTCTTGCTCTTCAAGTCGCTGAACTTCGGCAAGTTCAACATTCCTTATTTCTTCATAGGCGTACTGATTGGCTCGCAGGCTAGCCAGCTCTTCTTCTTCCATCACTTCCAGAAGGGACTGCTCGATTGTCTTCCCCACCAAAACTTCTAACATTGGTTTAACTTCGAGATCAAAGTCAAAGAGCTTAAACACACAAAATAGAGCAAACTCGACATTTCAATCATAAACCAAATGGTCAATAACAAATATAAAGAAGAGCAATAACAGGATATTATTTATTAAGTGTTCCGTCTCCCTGACACTGTGCTGGGGCTTTATTTATGCCTTTGAATCTCAAAAACAACCCTGCAAGATACACAGAATAGTGTTTTGTTTTAAGAATTTTTTTAATTGAACTTTATTTATTTATTTATTTTAATTTGACCAGAGAGGGACAGAATGAATGAGTGAGTGAGAGAGAGAGAAAGAAAGAGAGAAAGCAAGCCTCCAGGTCCGTGACTCAAACCATGGTTGGCCATGTAGGAGTCCAGCATCCTTAACCACCATGGCAGCTGCTGACCTTCAGAACAGTATTTTGTTTACAGGCAAAAATCTATTAAGCATAAAAAAGTACCCTAATATTCAATAATTTTAAGATCAAACAGGAACCCAAGGAATATTCTTATCTTTCTTAATTCTCCTCCATCTCTCCCTCTTTTTGAGATTTTCAGCATGCATGCACATGTGCCTGGCATGTTTTTCAAACCACTGGATCCAGGACTTGAATTATGTGGTTAGCCATGTGGGATCTAGTTGTTTTAACCAGGCCTTGGACTGGTCCTTACTGATTTTTTTTTAGAATTATTTTATTGAATTTTGTTTATTATTATTTTTCAACTTGGCCAGAGAGAGAGAACGAGCGAGAGAGGGAAAGTGAGAAAGCAAGCCGCCAGGTATGGGACTCAAACCACAGCTGGGCATGTGGGAGTCCAGTGTCTTAATACCATATCACCTGCTGGCCCCCTTACTGATTGTTTTTTAAAAATAGTTTTAAGGAATGAGAATAGGAGATATTTTGATGACTGATCCCTAGGATTTAGGGCCAAATATACTCTTTTCTCTAACTTCTCAAGACTTACTTTATTTTCCAATTTCAGTGACTGTTCTTCAGTTAAGTTCCTTCAACTCTTAAATCTCTTAAGTAGCTATATACACAGTCATTGCCTTTTCTTGTTTGTTTGTTTGTCTGTTTATTTATTTATTAGATTTTTGCCATAGGGCTTGTACACTCTCCAGAGAGAAACAGAGAGACGGAAAGTGAGAAATCACTCTCTGGGGGGATGGCCACACCCCTGTCCTTTCTCCTGTGGAGATCTGGGGCATGCATGCACATGCACCTGGCATGATTTTCAAGCCACTGGGATCACGGCTCAGATCAAGGCCAGCCATGTGGGAGTCCAGTGCCTTAGCTACTACACTACCTGCTGGCCCTTCTTCGGTTTTAGATACTGACCTATGTGTGCATTCCACATTGATATGAAAATGTAATTATTTTAATACTGTTTTTAACAGAGCAAGTATCTTTATAAAAGTTATAAAGTCCATAAGCAATAGAAAAATCTTTTATACCAGGGATATTATTTTTCCTTATTTGGTACAAATCTAACACACACACAGACAGACAGACAGACACACACACACACACATACACATTGTTAAACAAGTGACAGACAGACAGACACACACACACATACACATTGTTAAACAAGAATGTAAACAAAAACTAAATGTATAAATATTCTAAAAATATTTTCTAATTAGTTTACTTATTTATTTATTTTTTGGAGAGGTTTTTGCTATAGGGCGCATTTGCTCACCAGACAGAGAGACAGAGAGATGGAAAGCGAGAAATCACCCTCTGGGGGGATGGCCATGCCACAATCCCTTTTCCTCCATTCTCCTCTTGGGATCTTGGGCACGCATGTACACATGCCTGGCATGAGTTTTAAGCCACTGGGTTCGGGACGCGAACCGTGGTCGACTACATAGGAGTCCAGCGACATAGCCATTATGCTAACTGCTGGTCCCTAATTAGTTTATTTCTGATCAGTGAAGAGTGAAAATCAGAATATGGCATCTTCAAACATTTCTGGGTACTGTAAGATAAAACTTAGTTTATATCATTGATATATTTTATATTATCGATGCTATCTGTAAAGAAATAAAAAAAGTAGAATCTTTCTGACTATAGAGTGGTTATTGTCCAATTTAAGCTTTACCTAAACCTAACTTCATTTTCATTTATAAAGATAACAGAGGAGAGCCCAAAGAATATACTGTACCTCTCCTTCTAGTATTTGGGTAGCCACATCTTTGCCAGTTTTGGCAGGGATGAAAAGTGGTGTTGGTGGCCTATCCAAAAATGCATCTGTTTGGCATTCCATATCCACTTCTATTATGCGATCAGCAATTTCTTCAAGGTATAATTCTAAAAAGAATATCATATACAGGGAGTTTGAAATTCCTGTCTATTTTAAGCATGTACGTATATTTGCAAATTTCAGCTTCTTCAAAACAAAAATGAATGAATCAGAAAATAAGTCTTAGAATAAAAGTGCTCAAAGGTAGAGTTCGGTTCATCTAGTGAATTAAGCACAATCATATATTTAGAAGACCATAGTATCAATTAGTCTAGAGCATTTACTGAATGTCTAGAAAACACTGGGCTTTGTATATGAAAATGAAACTAAAGAATAACATGAGATCACAGATGTTTATAAAATGAAAAGCACAATAGGTGATGAAAAGTTAAATAGATACACATAACCCGTATGTGTGTAATTGAGTCTTAAGATAGTAAACATATAAAGATTTGAAAATTCCTGGATATTTAAAAGAATCATACACCAAATCACCATATTATTTGAAAATCACCCTATCCTATAAATTAAAAACAGATGTACAAAACCAAATTTCATGTCAGGAATGATTTACAAGATGCAGAGGCAATGTGGTAACCAGCAAAGAACATGGGCACTGGAGCCAGCGGCCAGGTGTGGTACACATACCTGTCTGCACATCCATATGCTTCCTGCCTTCCACGGGCTCGGGTGTTCGTGGTCTGATCTGGTCTTGGGCTCGCTGTCTGGCAAGAGCCTTCCTCCTAGCCTGCTTCAGTCTCTGAGCATCTAAAGGGTCAGGTTGTCCAGGCTAAGAGGGACAGAAAAGGCTTCAAAAATTTAGAAAATATTACTCAAAGTATATTGGAACTGTCATTCCAAAATAAATTTCTGGATAGTATGAAAGTATCTGTCATAATAATGCTTCCTGATCACCAGCAACTTGGTGAGAAAGAATTGCGGCATGGCAATCCTTCCTTGAGGGTAATTTCTTACTTTCCCTCTCTCTCTCTCTCTGGAGAGTGCACAACAACAACAAAAAAAAAAAAAAAAAAAAAGGTATACACACATGTGCACAATTATACATAGTAGTTCTGCAATATTTGGAGACCCTCAATTTGGTATCTGTATCTTATTTTTTTAAAAGAATTATTTACGGGACTAGCAGTTAGACTAATGGCTATGTCACTGGACTCCCATGTAGTCGATCGTGGTTCGAGTTCCGGACCCAGAGGTTTAAACTCACGCCGGGCGCGTGTGTGCCCAAGATCCCGAGAGGAGAATGGAGGAGAAGGGATTGCGGCGTGGCCATCCTCCCTGGGGGGTGATTTCTTGATTTCTGTCTCTCTCTGTCTTTCTGGTGAGCGCATGTGCCCTGTAGCAAAAACCTCTCAAAAAAAAAAAAGAATTATTTATTTAATTCCATTTGTTATTATAATTTTTAAATTTAACCAGAGAGAGAGAGAAAGGGAAAGCAAGAAAGTAAGCCACCAGGTCCGAGACTCAAACCATAGTCAGCCATGTGGGAACCCAGCGCCTTTAGCCACCATGCCATCTGCTGGCCCTGGTATCTGCATCTTATTTTGTAGTCATTATTTACAGCTGACCTGTCTTAAGATCAATATGAAAAGGGGAAATACAAAAGTATTTGTATGAAGTTTTTTTTTTTGGAGAGGTTTTTTTTTTTTGCTAGAGGGCGCGTGCGCTCACCATAAAGACAGAGACAGAAAGTGAGAAATCACCCCCCAGGGGGGATGGCTACACCTCAATCCCTTCTCGGGATCTTGGGGACGCACACACACGTGCCCGGTGTGAGTTTAAGCCACCAGGTCCGGGACTCGAACCGCAGGCGACTATGTGGGAGTCCAGCAATATAGCCATTACGCTAACTGCTGGTTCCTGTATGAAGATATTTTTAATAGTTAAAATTCTAAACATGCTGGGTCAGCAGGTAGCATGGTGGTTAAGGTAGCCAGATCCCACGTGGCTGACAGCATGGTTCCAGTACTGTGCATGCGTGCTCAGTCTCGAGAGAAGAATGGAAAAGGAACTGCAGCGTGGCCATTCCCCTCAGGGGCACTTACTTATTTCTCTCTGGCAAGCACACGCACCCTATAGAAAACTTATTTTTAAAAATCCTAAATATGCTTTAGCTGAAATGATAATGTAACAATATTAAAATTATTTTATTAAAGGAAAATCACCTATGATCGCACATCATTTGAATCCATGGTATTTTTGGAATTGTGAAGTTACTAACACGCTTTATATTGATTTTCTAATTGAACACTATCAGTCATAACCATTCTCCCATGTTGGCATTAAATAATGGAGGGTGTTAGCTTTGAAGCTCCAATTCCAACTCTTTAACTTGTGAATTGCCTGGATTAGTAAAACCTGGACTAAATGCCCTGGTTTGCAGGTGTCTATTTACAGTTTGGTTGCAAGGAACAAACCAGATGATAATGGAATGAGTCTAACACCATATCTAACATAAAATAGCTCTTCCCTACAGTCATACCTCTTATTATAAATAATATGATCACATTACCAAAAACAAAACAGGAAAGAGTTGCCTGTAATTCCATTTTTCTAATCAAACTTCTATTATTATTTTGGGGGCATTCAGTGAAGACTTTTTTTTTTTAAGAGAGATTTTTGCTATAGGGCACATGCGCTGCCAGAGACCCTAAGCAAAAAATCACCCCCCTGGGGGATGGCCACATGGCAATCCCTTTCCATTCTCCTCTCAGGATTTTGGGCATGCATGCATACACCCTGGCGTGAATTTAAGCTGCTGGGTTTGGGACTCAAACTGCGGATGACTATGTGAGAGTCCAGCAATGTATCCATTATGCCATCTGCTGGTCCTTAAGTGCAGACATTTTTCTTTGCATATTTTACACTATTATAAATATTCTTGATTTGTTCCCATTTTCTTCATAGAACAGAATTATAAATATCAGTTCTTGAAAGATTTGAGGTGTTAGCATAAGTGCAACAAGTTTATTTTAGAAATGCACTGCCCAATCTGTTTCAGTTAGATCTTTTTAAAAAATTTATTTTAAATAATTCATAGCATGTTGCAAAGAACAGTAGAGTCCTGTGTACCCTCCATCAAATGCAGACGTTTCAGCTAACAATAGCACAATATCGAAGTCAGGAAGTTAGCCCTGCTCAAATATTAATGGATTTAATCCTGTTTTCGCAACATTTAATAGGCACCGATTTACATTTGTCTGTACATGTAGTTCTGTGTGATTTTATTCCATGTACAGATTTGTGTAGTCACAACCACAGTTAAGATAGAGACCATCTCCACAAAGGAGAGCCATCAGGTATTTCTTTATATTCGATTCCAAGTTCCACTCCCATCACTGTCCCCAGGAATGGGAATATTGTTCTCTGTCTCTATTGTTTTGTCTTTAAAAAAAATTATTTTCCTTCATGAGAGGCAATGGGAAAGGTGGAGCAGTGCCCCTGACAGGGACTCCCTCCTGTGACTCTAGCTCCCTCCCTGCAGGTGGCTCCAGCATCACCCAGGAATGTCCGCACCACTGTGGCTGGGTCTCGTTTTGTCTTTTGAGAATGTTAAATACAAGGAATAATACAGCATGTAACTTCTGAGACTGGTTTTTTGCTTTTTCACTGAACATAATGCCCTTTGAGAGTCATCCAGGTTGCTGCATATATCACTAGTTCTTTTTCTTGACCGAGTAGACATTGATTGTATGGATGTACCAGGGTTTTTAAATTTTTATTTATTTTTTTAAAATCATACTTCTTGAAAGACACCTTAGTATTTGTTTCAAGCTTTTTGCCATTATAAATATTATACTATAAATGCTCGTGTACAAGTTTATGTGTAAACGTAAGTTCCATTTCTCTGAAATGCCTAAGACTGTAATTATGGGTTGAATGGTAAGTGTCTGTTTAGTTTTATGAGAAACTGTTGAACAATTTTCCAGAGTGGATGTACCATTTTACATCCCCATCAGCAATATCTGAGACTATAAAATATAATGTTCATTGACGATTTCTATCATGAGTAAAGGGAAAAAATAATAACGGAGTGTGTGAGCAAGTGCATGAAGGAAGGAGAGAGAAAGGCATTGTCAACTGGGTCTCATTACACCGTGGTCCTCTTTCCCCAGCCCTCCAGCTCATTAGGATCTTGGGCACGTGTGGACACACCTGACATGTTCTCAGCCAACCTGAGGATCTAAACCTGTAGTTGGCCAGCTGGCTTCCAGACAGGTCAGTTTGCTACCAACTGCGCAACCAGGTTGGACCTTTATACGGTATTTTAAATAATTCTGTGCATGTCGAGACTAGCTCAGTATGAACATGTTTTTTTTAGTGAGGAAGGCTATGGATTAGAAATAGATGCAGTAACAAAACACACAAAGGCATATAGGTATAGAAAAGTGAGGATTGGGTGGGCGCAGCTTCTCTGATAGAGAAGTTGTGACCAGAATTAGCCTTAGGTTTATTCTTTTAAAGGGCAGAGAATGGAGGAAGGGGAAAATGGGTTGTAAAAGGAATGGGGAAGAAGGAAGTGGAATGCAAAGAGAATAAGGGAGGAGAAATTGGGATGCAAAGCCAGTTGGGTTTGGATGTAAATCGACTGAAGATGTGAAAATGACTGGGGCCACGTAATTTCTCTGATCCTTTTGGGGGATAATTTGATAAAGGCTTGTGACTCCTTTAGCCTGATACTGGGTAGTATGGAGGTATTGGGTATCAACAACAACAGGAAGACAGCCATGGACAAGGCAGGTACTGCTTTTGTATGTAGATGCTTCTCAATAGCCCTGCTAGAGTAGCTTACGGAAGCAAGCGACTATCTGCCTGTGTCTTCAGGCCACATGTTTTAATCACGTGTTTTTAGATTGGCTGCTCTCCACGTGTGCATGAAACAAAGTTTGTATATATCAAACTATCAGAAAGTGAAGTGTTGCTATCTCTGCCCCCCACGTGGACAATCTCAGTTGCTCCGGCAGTACCATCATTCCTGATGATGAATTTACATGCTACCGATCAGCAATCATTCTCTTATACTTAGTCACACGAACTACGTAAAAGTAAAATATATGACATGTCATTAAGACAATGAAAAAACCGCGCAGCACAGCAGCTTCACCAGCATGGCCACCTCAGCTGTTAAACAACAGTGATGTAAAACAGTGTGATGCTGTGTTCTGACCAAAAGGCTACTGTACACTGTTTTGTTCAAAGGTGAGAATAAACATTAAAAATAGCTAAGAGAGGGACCAGCAGTTGGCGTAATGGCTATGCTGCTGGACTCTCATGTAATCGACCACGGGTCGAGTCCTGTACCCGGTGGCTTAATCTCGTGCCGGGCACATGTGCATGTGTGCCCGAGATCCCAAGAGAAGGGACTGCAGTGTGGCCATCCCCCCCGGAGGGTGATTTCTTGCTTTCTGTCTCTCTGTCTCTCTGGTGAGTGTATGCGCCCTATAGCAAAAAAAAAAAAAAAAAAAAAAAATGCTTAAAAAAAAAGAAAAGAAAGTTTATTGGGAACCAGCAGTTAGCGTAATGGCTGTGTCGCTGGACTCCCACGTAGTCGACCGCAGTTCAAGTCCCGGACCCGGTGGCTTGGAACTCATGCCGGGCGTGTGTGCGTGCGTGCCCAAGAGAAGGGAGGAGAAGGGATTGCAGCGTGACCATCCCCCCGGGGGGTGATTTCTCGCTTTCTGTCTCTATGTCTCTCTCTGTCTGTCTGGTGAGCGCACGTGCCCTATAGCGAAAAAAACCTCTCCAAAAAAAAAAAGTTTATTGTGTACCGGG